TGCAACTACCACTCTTCAAGGCAAGGCCCTCCCTTTTTCTCCCTTTCTGTGGTCGCTCCTGATGAATAGTCTGCTTGATGCCCTCGACGGAAGAAAAGTAGATCTGCAAGCTTATGCGGATGACCTTGTCACCTTGGCAAGGTCCACGTCGAGAAGAGTAGCTTTTAATATCCTCCAAAACACGATGGAAGTTGTTCACAGTTGGTGCATGAGGAAGCAGATGTTTGTCAACCGCAACACAACTGTGATAGTCCCTTTCACCAGGAGGAGAAAATTGGACGATGTAACGCCACTTTCCCTCAATGGTGAGGTCATTTCATTTGAAATGAAAGTGAAATATCTTGAAATTTTCCTTTAATAAAAACGCTCACTTGGAAAAAAAATTACACAAAGCCAGAATATCCCTATGGACATGTTGAAGGATTTATGTTGAAACTTGAGGTATAGGTCTCAACAAATCCATTGGATTCATGTGGCTTCACAGAAAACGGCTCAAACGAAGCTTTTTGGCTTACAGGGACAGGTTTGTCTGAACATCAGCGATGCCATTGGTATGACACCGTCAGTAGCCATAGAGATTCTTCTAGATATACATAATAATAATAATAATAAATCGGCTTTATTGATAATACAGAAAAAAACAATGTTATTTGAATTTCCTGATATTGAATCTCTTCAATTGCTCAGGCAATGAATCATAGAGTTTTACAGCACCAAAAAGAAATGATCTCTGAAACTGTGCAGTGCGATGTTGTGGCATAGTTCTGGAGGAAGAGGCTAAATGGACTTCATATAGACTTGTAAACTGTCAATTGCACAAATTCATTCAATACAGAGTGCAACACACTGTTGGTTGACACTGGAAGTCACATCATTCTTGAAATGATCTCTGACTTCATGCCCCCGACTGTCAACTACGAACTGCCTCATAAATTACTGTTTCCGAGTAGAGAGGACTGGATCCTCCGGGAGAAGGAAATATTAAGAGCAGATAGACTCATACACGTGTCAATTAAATCATTATTTTGGCTCTTACCAAGCAACGTCTAAATTGGTAGCGAATTGCCAAAAATGATTCTTCTCGATAGGAAGACTCAGATTGATCTTCTCAGGAAGACAGATTGTCTCTGGTCTTGATTCCTTGCCGTACTGGCCTGGAAGGTAAAAAGGCCTATGCAAAGCAGGGGGCTGCAAACAGCTTCATCGGACCAGAACCTGTCATTGGCGTCGTTTTAGGCCTTGCCAAACAAACATTAAACACCTGGATGATAAGAAGATTTATGGACTTCTGGCAGAATCTTCCAGAATTGGCTCACTCCAGGGCGTTCATTCACCCTTCGAAGCTTGATACCCAAACAGTTGTTAGACTGTAGTAAGGATGAACTACGATGTCAAACAAGTCGTAGCGATGTCGCAGGTCGCTGTCATTTGAATCATCATATGCATTGTGTGACGCCTCGGTTTGGAAAATGATGAAACAGCAGAGCACATACTTTGTGCCTGCCCCGCTAAGAACCTCATCAGGTTTTCAGAGTTTGTCAGAGCTGTACTCTTACCATCTGACCTGAAAGAGCACTCACCATACAAACTAATTGGCTTTGTTGAGAAGCTGGGTTTATTTGGTCGAGTATAAATAGGTGTGAACCACAATGAACCTTTGCGGATTGCGGTAGGGGGTCGATCAGATCCACTTACTTTGGATCTAACCTAATCAAACCTACATGAATCAAGATGATCTGATATCCATCGTGGTATCAATCGGTAAAGTCGTTATTTTTCGGCAGGCAGTCACCATTTGCTACTGTGCAGGAACATTGGGAAGAGTAGGATTTTGAAATTCAATTTTTTACTTACTGAAAGTTGTTGTTTCTGCTAGACTTTTCTGTCCAGCTTCCATCTACAAGAAACTTCTGAGCAATGATCTACTTAGGATTATATGGAGTTTGCATTGAAATTGATGAAGTTTTTCGTTTTTTGAAAATTTTTAATTTTTGTCGTATAATAATAGAGAAAAAGACAGCCAAACACCCAAATAAATTTTTCCCAATGAATAAAATACATGAAATGATACCATGATACAAGAATCCATTTTCTGAACAAATACTAGCAATGTTAGAGAACAATGCAATCCAATTGAAACATTTTCCTGACGAGTGAACCTTCACACTTCACGGTCATGCTAATCATCAAATTTGCCGCTATGGGTATAGGAGAAATCTAAAGTAATCCACTGGATGAGAGAACATAATCATTGAAAGATCAGTGAAAATCACATGTTTGGACTTTCGTTGTCTGATAAAAAAAGCATTGAAATATGTGAAATAAAACAAAAATTGTTGAAATTTCAAATTTTACATTCTAGATAGTTGATATCTCCGTAACTAATGTTGAAGATATTCTGCTAGATTTTTTTTCTGATAAGTTTACACGGTGCTTTACTACGTACGTGATGAATTTCTCCTTCAATAGGTGTTCTACATGGCCTTTCCAGATCTTGCACTATGAATTTTGTCTTAACTGCCACTTTAGTTTGCGGTTCTCAGCGACGAGCCTGTCTTTGATAGCTTATCTGGTCATTCGATTATTGAACTGACGTATCAAAAAGAAAAGGTATAAAAATCATTCCCAGAAAGGTGTAAAAATCATTCTCAAATTCGAATTTTGACTTTTCAAGTATAGCTCATTATTTCACGGTTCTACTGGTTCTTTCTGCAAAAATCGATGCACTTCAGGTGAAATGTTTGTTGAAAACTCATTCCAGTTGCGTGAAATGTTTTTTTCAAAAGTGGTCTGTTACACGCAAATCGTACAATGATCTGAAAATGTTTTGAAAATACACCTAGAAAAATGGAATGTTGTTTCCCGACTGAAATAATTTAATTGGTCAGAGATCATTTTCCAATCGTGTTAGTATTGTTCAATTCTATTCATCATTTTCAAAGATGATTTCTCCAAGTAGCTATCAATGGTTTCCATACCTTCACAATCAACGCTAATGTTTCACCAAGATCCATATTACCTCCAACCACTTTTTTTTATTATACACCAAAGAACTATTGGAAAAACCATTCACACAACACTTTTTTTTCAGTTCAGCAAAGGATTTTATAACTCAATATACATCTGGAAAAAATTCTACTTGGGACGACATAAACTATGTTAAATTGAATTCAGGCATCTCTGAGATGATTGATATCAATATATTTCGGCAAAATCGTTATACTGTTATAGCAAAGGTAGGTAACAGAAAAACCTACATATCTTTCAATATTCAGTTCGCAGTACGATGTTTATTGTGATCATCATCACAGAATTCATCAAAATGGTCTCACTACCTTCATTCNCTCATCAAAATAATAAATGAATGTGCGTTCGAAAAAAAGGGGTGACGATCGTGCGACAGCCGCAACAACACGGTACCACACTTTAGTGCGGTACCGTGTTTTTATTGTACAATACCTACTTTTCAATTGAAATAGTTCATTTGCGGTACCGTGTTTTTATTGCACAGTACTTAATTTTTTATTGAAATAGTTCAGTATTGCCTAAAATGGCAATAATGAAAAGATCAAATTTTATCATTACAAATAGGGTTAAATAGCCAGTTCAATAAAATGAGGTTGTAACGATGTATTTTCATCATAATTTCATTACTGTGTACAATTATAGCTGCAAATAGTATATACATTAATTTTTATAAGTCATATTTAATTCAAGTCATACGTTGATAAAGGATATTCTGTATTATATGAATATACACTAATAAATCGATCTTTGAATAAAAGGAAAATGATTCAGTATGTAAATTCAGTATGTAATTCATATACCGTGTTCAAATAACAAGTTCGGCTATCGTCCACTAGATGGCCTACCCTTTAACAAGACTCCTTTTGTGGTAGATCTTTGTTGTTCAACGTATTATTTTCTTAGAAATTGTAAAGTTACGTGTCGTTACTTGTTTTTAGATTTTTGGGCAGAATCGAAGTACTCGAGGTAGCCATGTTAGCTTGCCTGTTCTGTTGGTGTAAGGAACGACGCTAGATTAGTGTATGTACTCCGACAGAAAAAGTGGATTATTCATAACTGTGTTGAACTGGAAACGAGATGTTTCAATGATGGATTATTTTCCTGCTCTATTCGTCTCTCCGGATTGTATCTGGTTATGAGGATATAGGATTGTTGTCTCTCTGAAGACAAGACGAAAATTGATGAACTTTGCAGCTCGTTTCAACCACTCAAGATGAACTACTTTCCTCAGACAATCGTCTCTCCTAATTTCACATGGTCATGAGGATTGAGAGGGTGGTCCATTTGAAGAACCTGTCAAAACTATTCAGCCCAAGGATATACTCCCCTAGTTGTCTTTCCTTCTATTATTTGATTATGACGTATCTGAATGGAGTGAATGGTTCAAGCTTTGGCTTCAACCAACTTCGTGAGACGTTAGACTACTGCCTAGTCTATTCAGGATAGTATACATAAACCAATTTCAACATTTCCCATATTTTACCTGCCTCCTTTTTTATTTACATCATAATTTTGTGTAATAGCCTTCATACAGTACTGGACCATCGCTTTCATATTTTCAAAACACTTGGAAGAGGTCATCACATGATACATTAATATTGGTTGAAATGATTCGAATTCATTATTTAACATCGCAATGTCGTTCCCATGGAATTGCTTGTATGACTGTAATTTACTTATTGTGTATGTCATGATATGTATTGGCGTGAAGTTATCCACAGATTTGTGGCCACACATGCTGACGTAGAGGAAAATAAAAATCTGTGGTTGGGATACGAAATTATTAGCACCCGCACTAATATCTGTGATTGGAAATACATATTCGCTATAGGTTGAACGTGGAATTATTAAGACTATTTGGTGTTTAACTTTTTCATAGAATCTTGAGTAGATTGACGCGTTGATAATCGTTTTCTCATCAACAATACAGATTTAGGGAAAAATCAAATTGGAAATATTAGACTTACTTTCCAANAGAGAAAGTTGATGTGTAAAAATGATTGTTGAAGACGACAATAATGTGATTTGCGGGCCGGAGCCCTACGAACCTATACCAGAAGGCTCCCTTGGGAAATTTTTGTTCGAAAATTTGTTGAGCAGTCCTGATACCAACGACGCAATGGTGAGTATGAACTGTTGAAACAGATATAAAAAAATATATAGAACAGATATAGACCAGATACAGAAAATATTACAAAAGAAAGTACAGTTTTTTATACAGGATTTCAAAATATCTCAATGTTAAATAAATGTAAACCCTAACGAAAGAAGGTGACTTTAGCTAGAGAGGGAATTAAAATGAAAATACTGAACGTTGTGACTGACAATCGTCGATTTTTTCATTCCAAAAACAGCTGAATGTTTTTACCGGTGTTTGCATATAGAATAGATAGTGTTCAGAAATTCATATTTACTATAGAAAATATATTACGTTATCGCGGAAACACCCTCCAATAATCCAAAACACGACTTTTGTCAAATTATATCCTAGCTTTAGAAAAATCTAATACTGCTCATACAGGTTTGCGAAGAGTTTTTCGCAGAAACGAACGGGATGTTGACTTTTACACATCAGAACAAAAAAACTGTCTCGCAACGCGCGTTTCTCTCTCACCAAGCTAGTATCATCAATCATCATCAGTCATCTCTCTTGATGATGCTAGCTTGGTTAAAAAACGCGCGTCGAGTGACAGTACATGAGGGTGGTCCCAGAGATACCCGGCCAAAGAAAAAAACACAAAAATTCTGAAGAAAAATATATTTTGAAAAGGTTACATTTTTAGGAGTGTGTGGGAAACACATGATCCCTACACAATATGATAAATGGAAGACGTAAAATTTCATTCACATGGAACACTGACATCAAGATAAGTACTGAAGAGCCTTGAGGCAAGTGACTAACTACGAAACATCGGCTGTCTACCACTAAGGATGACAGTATTCCATATAGGTGAAATTTCACTTCTTTCATTTATTATAATGTGGATGATATCTGTCTCGATTCCATTACGAATTTTTAGAATACAAACGAAATAAAGAAAATTATTTTTTATACAATTCAGTGTTCATATAAAAGTATTAGTTTCGACAGAGTCTTTCTTTCGTGTAATTCAATGCTTGTATGAAAATAGTTGTTTCGAGAGGGCTTTTTCTTTCCACTTTGTCTAAAAATTACTTCTTTGCATGATCTACATATCTTTGTAAAGAGTTAATTTTTGAAATTGATTGTTTCCTTTCTTTCTTTGGAACCAATCAACCGGTTCATTGGTCAAACCACCAACACTGACATAAAAACTTGGCAAGTTGACTTGGGTGTCACACTAGTAGGTGGAAGCACTTATGTCTCACTTGCATTCACACAATCATTTTTATGAACTACTTTTCTTGGTTATTCACATTTTGTCTTTAATCGAGGACCGCCTGCCCGGTACTGACAATATATACATGGTAATTCATGATCACTCGAATGAAATCAATGAAAACACTTTTGTCTAAATACCACTGGTAGATTTTATTTATACAACCGGGTTTGACCCGGGTTTGACTGGATTTATCAAGAATGAAACTGAAATCTGAATTTTGAAATATCGGTTTTATCAGAATTTTCAGGTATGCTGCAAGGACAGGTATTTGACAGACAGGTAGTTGGGCGAACCAGGATGCTCACTTGAAATTCCACCCTGAAAAATCTAGGGGTTGTTAAGCTTATAAATTCAAGAGAGGAGACCTACATAAATCGAGTTGCTCGTTTAGGGATGTTTCTGGTTTTCAATTGATTTGTTAATTTCCATGGCCTCCAACAAATTCATTTTTTCCCAAACAACTGCAATACTGTTCTCGACGCGCGTTTTACAAACCAACTTGGCGTCTTCAGGAGATGAAGAAAACGACAGAGGTTTACCTTCAATTTCAAAGGTAAACTACGTAAAACAAAAACCAAAACAGTTACAACCCTTTTTCATCACGTGTGTCACATCGGTGTGTGAGGCCGCTTGAGATCATTTTGTCGACCGATAGCTCGTTATACAGAGTGGCCACTTTTTAAGGGGACGAGAATACCAGGGCTGGTTTTTGAGATATCATAAGAAAAGTACATTCTGTCAATTTGATTTTTCTTTTCTCCACATTATTTTAAAAATTGTAAAATAAAATTACATACATTTTCAATTCCATAGTAAATTATCCTCAATTAAACGTAATCAGATTTCGAATCCAACGTTTTGTACTCTCTGAGCCACCTTGAACCTATTTCTTTTTCAATACGGACCTGCATATTTTGTGACACTTTTAGAAATAACTTCACGCTGAATTCAACAATACATCTACAGTGCCATTCAAAGTTGATTTTCGGGTAATTTTGACCCTTATNACATGTGTAATTTCATATAATAATCACAAATTGGATTTTAGGACTCCTGTCTTGTGAAATTATAGTTGTTCAAGCGAAGATCTCATAAAAAGTAGTATAAAACTTGATTTTTCAGATCTGATTCATTATCTGAATAAGCTTCAACAATAAAAGTGTGCATAACAGAATAGGTAGGTAGAATTCAGTGAGATTCGGTGGGAATGAAACTGAACCATTTCAAGAAGTTCATCAAATATTTAAATTTTTGGTTAACCCATCAATTGGAATATCAATTTTTCCCTTTTTTCGTTTGATGGCAGTTGACAATGATTTCTGGTGGAATGAAGTTTTGACAAATTTACAATCCAATGAAAGATAAATGAATAATATTTAGAGAATACTATTACCGAAATAGTTTTAAGGTAGAAAGAAATAAATTCATCAGAAGGTGAAAAGAAGATAATGAACACGAAATATAATAGAAATTATAACCTGAAATGGAAATGAGTTGAGGAAGTTACTTAACAATGAATGGAAATGTCAACATTATACAAACGACGGAAATGGAGAGAAATGATGATTAATAAATAACACAAAATTTTAAAGAATTTTGAATCAAGCTACTTCGTGGGAGATAACCGATCTTTTTCGAAAATTTGTATTCAGCTTCTTCTGACTCCCTCGTGAGACAGTGTCTCTCTCTGTAGACCATTACGGCTTCTGACCACTTGGTAGATCCACAACTTGTTTTGCTATCCTCTATTTGCTGGTTTATTTTCACTTGATGTAGAACTCGACCATAACCTCTTGAAGTCGTTGTCTGCACTTTTTGTTTGCTTGGTTTTTATGAGGCTGCAACAAAAGCAGGTTCCTAATTTGTATTTGGCCCCAATTCTGCACATTTTCTCTAAGAGGTCCTCTGAAAAACTACTGGTTGCTACGGCTTCTCTTTCTCACGGGGTTCTTATGGCTTTCTGTCAGTTTTTGTAGTAACTATTCTGTTGGAGATAATATCTGAATTACCAACTAGAACTTTGAGAGGTGATGTAAATGGATATTGAAGTACATCACAGTATATAGTGATTCTCGAATATTATCTGATGTGAAAAATGCAGTTAAGAGAGGCGCGTCCGAGACCCGGTATTCAGGTGCGCGTGCCATTTTTACTGATAGTAAATCGCCTATACATGGTGTTTTAACTATACTACATACAGTTTGAACAACTCATATAATATTTCTTTTCTATACCGTGTTAGAAATCACATGTTGAAAGGTAAGACCTCGTTAGTCCTTGACTCGCACAAGTTTTTCAACTTCTGAGAGTTGTCGTTCCTAAGGGGGCGACAGCTTATTAACAGAAAAATAGGCATAAACAGGCATAAAAAACAGGCATACCCACCCGAGTCGTCATTACAAAATGCTCAATTCATTGGTGTTAGAAGTGACATAAATAATTTTTGAAACAATCGACCAATCCACATTCAAGAATAGCCTATATTTTGTGTAATGAAGCATTCTCATTTCGGCATAGATTTTCCTTCACAAATATTGAAATTCACTTTTGGAGTTACCAAAAATCCAAAATAAGACTGAGCGCTGGACGGAATTGAGTATGCAAAACGTGAGGACCGTATACTGTATATCGTTCGAATTCAGATAAGCCTTCAAAAACTTTTTACTGAAAAATTATTTGATACAAAAAATCCAATTTTAACATGATTATTCAAAAGATTCACTCTCAGTATGGATGAGGTTAGGTTAGGTCCGAAGTGAGTGGGTCTATTCGACCTTCCACCGCAACCCGCAGTTTATTGTGGCTCACACCTATTCACACTCGACAGGATAAACCCAGCTTCCTAACAAAGCCTATTAGTTTGTATGGTGAGTGGTCTTTCAGGTCAGATGGTAAGAGTACGGCTCTGTCAAAATTGAAAAACCCAATTCGGTCCCCAACGGGGCTGGCACAAAGTATAAGCTCAACTGTTCCATCATTTTCTAAACATAGGCTACACACACTGTTTTTCGACAGTCCCAGGCTCTGCTTATGATGATTCAAATGACAGTGACCTATAAGAAGGCCGGTTAGACACCGTGGTTTATCCCTACTGTAGTCCAACAACTGTTTGGTATCAAGCTTCGAAGGGTAAATAAACCCCTCGGAGTGAGCCAATCCTGGAAGATTCTGCCAGAAGTCGATAAATCTTCTTGCCATCCAGGTGTTCAATTTTCGTTTGGCAAAGCCTGAAGCGATGCCAATGGCAGGTTCTGGTCCGATGAAGCTGCTTGCAGCACCCTCCTTTGCAAAGGCGTCAGCAGCATCATTGCCTTTCAGGCAGTATGCCTAGGAATCCAGATCAGAGACAATCTGTTGAGTCTTTCTACCGAAGAGAGTATTTTTTGGCAATTTGCTACTTATTTAGACGTTGCTCGGTAGTTGCCAAGAGCTTCCAACGCCGCTTGACTGTTCGAAAATATTTTAATTGACTTGTGTATGAGGTTGGATTCTTCCAACCTCTCGGCACCCAATTCAATAGCGTAAATTTTTGCTTGAAATACAGTCGCATAGGTTCATGGACAGGTTGATATATCTGTCCTACGTCTGCGACTGAAGACACCTGCATCAGAACAGATGTTTGATCCATCTGTGAATCAACAACTATCTGCTCTTAATATTTCCTTCTCCTGAAGGATCCATGCAGGAGTTGATATAGCTTAGGAGACATCCTCTTATACCGATATTATATAACTTTTTAGAAAGTATGTTCCTGTCCACATAATCAAAAGGTCAAAAAATAGAGTTTAAACATATTTTCCATTATCTAGCTCTTTATATACATTTTTGAAAAAATGTGCGGATGCTGTCTCTATTGATTGTCCATGTTGACAATCTGTAAAAATTTTGTACACTTCAGTATATGCTAAAATGCGGCAGAGGAGAATTTTTTCTACAATATTTGAAAATGCACTTAGCAAGGATATTTGTCAATAATTTTCTACTTCACTCATGCAGCCCTTTCTAAAAATAGGGATTGTACAAGCTATTTCGAGAAGAAGGAAACTCTCCGCTAAGAAATGATTGATTTATGAGGTGCAGCAGTGGATCTATGATGTTATTGCAAAAATTTTTATTGATGTGAGTAGTGAAACCATCCAAACCAGACTTTTCATTTTCAAGATTACTTATAACAATTGCTAATTCATTTTTACTCACTGGATGAAGAAATATAGAAATTATCCTATGTTCGGACAGAGTACAGGGCAAAGATAAGTTATATCCGAAATTTTCGTCGATATGATTAGGAATAACGCTAGAAAAATAGGATGCAAAGCAATTTGACACTTCTTTCCCATCAGCAGTTGAATTGTTTTGAATATTGAGAGTAATATTTCTAAAATCAGTTTTTGATCTTTCAAGCTTCTTTTTNGGTATGAAAAATTATTCTCCTTATTGTTTACTAATGAATGATCGGCCAAAGGAGGATTTAACATAGTAGCATCTGTGTTCAAGGTTACTGACTCTGAACCAACTACTTTGCTTAAATAATTACTAATATTAAGTTCTTGCGATAAATGTACATCATTTAGAGCATTACCATCAATAATTGTTTCGACATAAGAGGTTAATAATTCGGACCTTAAATTACTTGAATTGTTATCATTATGTTTTCGAAATAAATTCACGTCATTTCCACCGTCGGCCGAGTCGTTTTCTAAAATGGGCTCCTGTACCACATCAGAAGGATCCGTAGACGTAAAGGTAGATAAGATCACAGCATCATCATTATCGGAGGCTATTTCATTATTAGTAGATACTAAATTTGTAATAGCAACAAACCTCAGATTCTTAGGAGATGAATATGTCTTGTTAGACAGAAAACGATATAAAATATTGGCAATCGTAACTTGGCTAAGTTTTAATGACTTTGATTCATTGCTTTCAATATAGTTTATTTGGCCTTCAGTTAATTTAATAAATCTATATAAAAAATCGTTTAACTTACTGTTATATTAACATATATATTTATTCTTGACGACTCCATATTTCTCACAAGGAACAGACATAAAACAAACATTGGTATGCACACACAGCTTAAGTTTATTACAGATTATTTTGAAAGAAGGTATCTTTCGTCTGTCCAAATCATTTGAGCCGGCAATTATCATAATGCGATCTTGCAGAGTGAAATCCATTGCCAGATATTTTCAATGACACTTTCCATGTGTGCTCCTGGCTCAACAATTGTGAGAATGTCATATACATTTTTGTCAATTTTAAATATTTGCCGTAATCATCAGCTGACAGTAAGAGCCTTTTTGTATTGTTAACAATATTATGTTTTTGAATATTGACAGTTTGATTTTCATCAATTGTGTTATTATTAATTGATCGTTCCTCTACGTAACTGACTTCGCTGAATAAATGATCTTCAACAGACGTAGATGGGTCTTCATCAGTTACAAGGTTTGTTTGTGTCTTACTGTTTTTTTTGGGTTTTTGTTCTTTCAATAGTATTGAAAGATGTTTTTTTTTAGTTCTCTTATCTGTCCTTATAATTATCTGATAATTTCTTACTGTTTTTGTATAGCTTGACTCATTTCATCTTCTAGCTCAATTGCCTCTTCCATAAACAATGTATGTTCACGTTTAAATTTTTCGATATACTTGTTTTTTATTACACTATCTTCATCAAGTTCACGAATTGTTTTCTCCAGTAAACAGTTTTTGGGTTGATAATGAATCTAGTTATATTCGTGAATCAACAACCACTTGTTTTGATTATAAACTGTCATTCAGTATCTCGTAAAAATTCGAAATGAGTGATAACAATCAAGAAATTTGTGCTAGCCCACCAGATACCAGATATTACCGAGCAAGCAAATATTGTGATGAATACTTTGTTTCCAGCAATATCAAGAGACACATACGAATATAATTTCGAAAATGTTATGAGTTGAAGAGAGAAGAAAAACATAACTTCGTTTTCTGATAACGATATTCTAGTTTATTTCAGATTTAGCAACCGTCGTAGAGAAAATATAGTACGCATCTTCCTCGAGGATAAGGCCAACTATGTCCACTCGCGAATTATCGTTGGTAAATGGCTTCCTATTCTAATCGGTACGTAATTTACTATTAGTTTTCGCTTCTTCACATTTATCACTTGTAGCGACATTGTCGCCATTTTTTGTTAAAATAAACCACTCAAATATAAGCAAACATAAAAAAAATTAAGTGTACACGAAAAAATTTATCGTTACACATGAAAAATTGTTTTATACTGCCTTGCTTGAGCTCTATGACGCGTGGGCGCACAAAGCAGGTAGAAGGGCGGGGGACAAAAGAAAGGAACCTCCATACAGAATCTGGCAACATGAGTTTTTTTAATTCAGTGTCTCAGGCAATGTCTAAAGATTTATAGTCGGTCAACCACAATGTAAAAAGCATTGGATGGAGGATGCTTTAAAAAGTTGTTTATTTGCTTCGTCTCTAATATTGGTGATTATGTTTTTGGCACAGTATTTTTGATATACTGGTTATAACACAGCATTCTCTTATGTGAATTGCCTCATAAAATTTGAGTGAGTTTTCAAACCACTTGAGTTTTGAATATTACAATTTTTGTGAAGAGTCAATAACTCATCATCATCTGCCAAATCTTCCTCGCTTTCTAAAATAACTCTACATTCACGACATTTAAATCGGTCTAAACATTTTTCTACTAAGTAACCAGCAAGGTATACTACTGCGCAGGATTCTACTGTTGCAGAAAAATTATCTATTGTATCTGCAGGTGCATTTGATGTTTCTGTTGCTGTACTTAAGTTTGAAAACTCCTCCTCCTCCTCGGTGGTCTCTAGAGAACTGTCCTCTACTGTATTAAAAATGTTTCCATCCTCATCCAATGATCCTGGCAACCGTTTGTGTTGAAGAAATCGTGGGTCGAAATGTCTGCTGCACTTAGTGTTTTTGGGCTCAGACCAGGCAATGTGATGTTGCCTGAAAAAGAAAAAATACTAATTGGTAACTCGATAAAACAACTTGTTGAAGTTTTTATTTTTACAGGATTTTATTTAGTTTCACCTATATCGGTATCTGACTGTGTGTCTGTAATCAAATTTTGCAAGTTAAATTTGACACACTTTTAATCATCCGATTGATTTGAAATTTGGTAAGTGTAGATAATTCCGATTAAAATGCATTATGAAATTTTTGTTAGAAAAAAACAAAACAAAATGGCGGCTCCATTATGGCAGGCAACTTTTGTGATTATGATCCAATTCCATTCAAAATTGGTATCTGGCGGGTTTTCAGGGTCGTAGACTTTTTATTCAGTTTTACGTGTTTCGGTGTCTGACTGTGTCCATATACTCCACCTAGTGTGACTTTCATAATAAATATCCATCATTTCGTGTTTTTTCTTAAATACTTTAGAGTAGTAAAAAGTTATTTTCAAAATTCGATATCTCGAAAACGGTTGAATTTAGGAAATGATGTGCGATATCAATTTTGTTCAGAATTTCAATCAGAATGAAAATATGGAATAATACATAAGGTGTTCTATTGAAGAAAAAGCAAATTTATTTCTTAAAGACTTTTTGACTGATCTGGTATATCTAATTTTTATTCAGTGTGGTAGATTTGGAAACACCCTAAAACTTCTGTACTTCAATATTTTCGACTAGCTATCTTACTTTAAAAAATAATCGACTGTTTCGATATATCAGCGACCCTTCATAACAAAAATTGATGCAACACTCATTGATAATCATCAAATTATTATTTTTCAATATTCAGCAAAGTGTTGGTGGTGATGGTGACAGGCGTGGTTGAAGAACTTGAGCAAGGCAATCAAATTATCCTAAAGCTTTGCAATCCAACCAAAACTGTGCCTTACGTGAAATACTGTTGAGAAAATTTGGGATTACAGGTATTTCGCTTCATTAAATAAAAATCTATCTGACAACGGCCAACAACTAGTAGGTAATGTTCATGGTACTCTGTCTAACTTCCAAACTGTCAAAAACAGCTCTCCAAAACGGTCTGTTTTGGTGGTCCAATTAGATAAGGGTGACAAGAAGAACCATATATCATTATTCATTTGTAAAACTTCTACATGAAGATAGTTGTTGAATTTTTCTGTAATATTGATATGAGACTATGACTCTTGCAGAATAATAGTTCCATTTTAAGTTACTTCACATCAACATATTTTGGGAACTGTTGAGGTTTCTTACCTGAATGGATTATCCATTGTTTACATCTTGTAGGATCTTTGACTGGAAAACGGAAAAAACTCAAACTATGGTCATTTCTAGTTGAGAGTCCACATTTGTTGCCAGACATCTGGAAATGATGATAAAATTGTAAAAGAAACAAAAGGCTAACAATTCAATTAGGTAAATTTGCTGATGAAAATAATCTCATTATTCACCAGTTTCACCAGTTAGTGCACATTCATCACATATTTTGAAATATAAAAATATTTTTTGCAAAATTACCAACACCAACTTGAAAATCAGGTCACTTGTTTTACAAGGGTACTAGCCAAAGACCAAAGAAATTAAAATGGCAAATTTTAATGTATAATTTTTCACATTAGGTATGTGGAAAGGGTGCACCAGAAGGTGAAATGTTATATGTCCCAAACAATGGCCATTTAATTTCATTTTGGTGACTGCATAATTTATCCAGGTGGTGAATATCTGAATACCTATTCTCCAAAGTTTCTGCAACATAACCTATAGTGCACCCACTTTCATTTGTTGAATAATTCATTTTGGAAATACATTTGAAGAGATCTAATAACATGAAATTTTAAATATAATGATTGAATATATTTTCACCTTTTTGTGCTGTCACAACTCGCTCACAATTATTGTCTTATAAAAGTACAAATGACACAAACTAATAACTACTAAATGCACAATTAACACAAACTGATTATGAAGAAAACAATCGTGATTCTGATCTCAGAATCACAAAAATCCACTACTAATAACCTATTATATGTTTACAAATTGCAACGCAAATGAGCACGTCACGGAGAGAAAGCCTGTCAGAAACATAAAAATAATCATTTACAACTTTTTATTACGACACTTTCCATCTCAATCTTTTATCTCTTTTTTGGAGACCACGGTATTGGCGCCATCTACTTTTCGTTTCCATCGTCCTCCAATGATAACTCCGTAAGGTTGACTGACTATAAATCTATAGGCAATGTTTTAGGTATAAAAATTTGAGCATAGTTGCCGGTCCTCACATTTTGCATACTCAAACTACCTTCAGCGCGTGCACTAAATGACAAGGAATTTTCCTTGATAATCTGACCATTGAGGTCAGATGTGATAACAACACAGACTAATTTTGCAACTGACAGTTTGATCCTCCCGCACGTTCTTCTGTAGATATGTTTTCATGCAATTCCAAAGTCCAATAATCATTTATCAATATATGTTCAAACTGGATGTTTATGTTTTTGGAAGCAAATCTGAAATTGTTGTGAATTAATATGTAGCATGTAGACGACAGGCAACATAAATATGATTTTCATATTCCTCTTTGTAAATTAAAATTGAGATGTAAATTCGAATTGATAGAAGTAAATATATACAAGGCATGTCCTGTACAAATTATTTGTGAAATTATTCCAATATTACGACTTATTCGATGCAAATTATAATATTTCTGTGATGGAAAGGGCTGATACTTGATGAAAAAACACGATAAAGTTTTATTGTGAGTAAATTGATAGATGTAGCCGTTACTACGTGGTGGGAGATCATAATGAAAAGAGAAATGAAAATTTCTATGTTTTTTACCACTTTCAATTGTAACTAACGTTACTACAGTTTCGTCCTATATGGACAATAAACTCTTGTATAAGTTTATTGTATGAGTTTGAGGATGTCCATATTGGACGAAATTGCAGTAAAGTTAGTTACAATTAAAAGTGGTGAAAAACATAGAAATTTTCAGTTTTCTTTTCATTTTATTGTGAGACTTCCACTTGATAGTTCACCAATTCGCAACGCGAGTTTGTCTATATGTAGGTATAATAGATTTTCGGGTGTTTTCAATACGAACATGTTTGATGTACGAAGGATTTTATATTGAGATTATTTCCAGAAAGAAGTGAAAATATTATATGTTCAAGAAACTATTGAGTTCCTTGAATTACAACTACCTGTCAAAAATATCGATGTTGACAGCGCCCGTCAGGAGAACCGACTTATGTTGCATTTCATTAGTTCGGACTTCCATTGCTTTAAATGTTAAATTGATTTGAAGTCCCTGAAAAATCTGTAAAAACTTTTTAAAAAGGTTAGCTGAAAAATAAACATTATATTAAGTGAAAAAACTTAAATTACAATTGAATAAAATACAAGCCACAACCAAAAGATAAAGAAAACTATTAAAACGAGATGAAAATTTAAAAATTATTAACAAGAAATGAAAATTGAAAATCAAAAGTCCAAACCAAGTAACTTCACGACATTTTGATTGTTAGTATCCACAATCGTCTTCGGGTGATAACTGGACTTATTCCTCAGAAATCTGACTATTTATAGTTTATTCGAATGCTTTCACTTATCCCCTCTTCCCTCTCTTCGTTTCATCGGTTTCAACGAAAGCTGACCGTTTGGCTGGAGTTGGTCGTATTCCGCTTGATAAGAGGTTTCCATATGTTGCTTATCTCTACGCTAGCTTGACTGAATGCGTTGTTGGGCAACATATATGCGGCTTCTTTGAATTTTCTCCTAAACCAATGTTCCTCTTCGTGGATGATTTCAGCTTGAGCCCACTTGATGTTATGTTGATGAGTCCAAATATGCTCTGCTATTCCTGATTTGCTGGTTTCTCCTCGCTGTGTGTTTTTTATGCTCGGCAATGCGAACTTCCAAAGGCCTCTTAGTTTCACCGATGTATGATCCTCCGCACTCGCAGGGTATCCGGTAAATGCAATTCTTGGGATCGTAGTCCGCGTTTGGTGGCCTGGTTTTCGTAAGGCTGAACACTATCCGTTGTTTCCAGATCTGAAACAGGTTCTGATGTTATACTTGGACCCAATCCTTCTTATCCTTTTCGACAATCCTCTGATGTAGACAAGTACTGGTTGTGGCGGCTTCTCTCCCTTGTGTAGATGTTGCTGTCTTCTAGCTGAAGCCTGTTCCATCATCACTTTGGAGTAACCATTCCGTTGAAGGTCATTTTTGATGATGCCTAGTTCCTTTTTGAGACCTTCCTTCGTATTACAGAGCCCGAAAGCACAGTCTAGTAGAGTCTTGATGATTCCCCTCTTAGTCGATTGATGGTGGTTCAGATACTGTCCTGTGTGGGTGGGTTTTCGATATACAGATGTTTTCTATTCAGTGTTGGTTCTCTTCATCAATACGTCTAAGAATAGCAATTCGTTGTGGACTTCCTTTTTCATTGTGAAATTGATGGAAGAACTTACGTTGTTGATGTGCTTCAGGAAGGTGTCTAGTTCTGCACTCCCGTGGTTTCATATTATGAAGGTGTCGTCCTCGTATCTCAACCAGACTCGGGGCTGCTTGTGGGCTTTTTCAATGGACAGAGATGTATGATATCGAGAAACTGTTGTCAGAGACAGCTCAATGCAACGGGTTCATTACAGACATGAGAAATTTTTCTCAAAAATTTCATTTTCACACCCAACTTATAGGGATGCTCTCAAAAATCTGAAAATAGTAGTGTGGCCGAGAACTATGAACATGACACAGTTTTCAACCCCAACAAAACATGTATTACCCTCTTGTCAACAGAATTTTTTTTCTATAAAAAAATCTAGTTCACACAAATAGCCAGGGAGACGAAACTCAATTTTTTTTTCATTTCATGTATTTTAATGAGCGGAGTGAGTTTGTCATTTGATTTGAATTACCTCATTATTCATACATATAAATTTTTTCAGGTTGATGCATATACAGGTGAAACAATTTCATACAAAACAATATTGGAAGAAACCTGTAACCTAGCTGAAGCTTTGAGAAGATACGGAAATGGTTCTGGATCCATTCATGCAATTTGCAGTGAAAACAATGTTCATTATTTCGTGCCAGTTTTTGCCTCGTTATATATAGGAGCAACAGTAGTCCCTATCAATCATGCTTACACTCGAGCTGAGTTGAATCACTCCCTGGAATTGACAGCTCCAAGTATAGTTTTCTGCTCTCCATCAGTCAAAGATAAATTCCTTGAATACCAAGGCAATTTCATCAAGAAGATAATTATCATAAACAGCAAGATGAGTTTCCCTGGGACAGAGACTCTGAAGCAATTTGTGTCAAATCAAATGCAAGGCTTTCCAGTTTTGCCCTACAGATTCCAACCCTTCAATGATTGTGACCAATCTCAACAAGTGGCTTTCATCATGAGTTCTTCTGGCACTACGGGTTTACCGAAAGGAGTCATGATCTCCCATCGACCTATTTTAGTTAGGATAGCCCAGTCACGGTAAGAATGAAATGAAATTTCTCATCAAAATTATTTAATAATAACAAAGGAACACAGTTTCTGTTATGTGAAATGTTATGACTATGATAATAATAATGTTGATTTGCATAATGAAATAAAATCTTACAAAACAATGTAACACTTGTGAAAGAACAAATGAACAGAAAAATCACAGAAGCAGTTATATAATGACACATCCAAGTGAAGATATATGTGTTTTTTTTTTTGATAAATTACATGTAGAGTGAATTTCACACTTTGGTAAATGGCATAATCAGGAGGTAAATGACATAATCAGAAGGTGACCTTTTTTTTTGTTTTTCTTCCAAATACTCACTTGGAATTCATCATATGAATAAAAATATTACGTTCCGTCTGGAGAATCCACTCAGTTGATAAATTTTTGAATTTTAAAAATTTTTCAATATTCTGAACCTCATGAGGTATTTGCTTATATATTCTTGATGCCAGATAATTGACACCTCGTTGTCCAATCTTTTTGTCACATCGGGGTGAAAATATAGAATAATCCTTTCGTGTACTATGGCCATGTTCATAAACTTGTAATATAATTTTTTTTTTTTCAGTAATAATANATAAGCTGTCATTCAGTATCTCGTAAAAATTCAAAATGAGTGATAACGATCAAGAAATTTGTGCTACCCCACCAGATATTACCGAGCCAGCAAATATTGTGATGAATACTTTGATGCCAGCAATATCAAGAGACACATACGAATATAATTTCGATAATGTTATGAGTTGGAGAGATAAGAAAAACATAACTTCGTTTTCCGATAACGATCTTCTAGTTTATTTCAAAGATTCAGCAACCGTCGTAGAGAAAATATAGCACGCATTTTCCTCGAGGATAAGGCCAACTACGTCCACTCGCGAATTATCGTTGGTAAATAGCTTCCTATTTACGTAATTTACTATTAGTTTTCGCTTCTTCACATTTATCACTTGTAGTGACATTGTCGCCATTTTTTGTTTAAATAAACCACTCAAATATAAGTAAACATAAAAAATATTAAGTGTACATGAAAAACTTTATCGTTACACATGAAAAATTGTTTTATACTGACTTGCTAGAGCTCTATGACGCGTGGGCGTACAAAGCAGATAGAAGGGCGGGGGACAAAGGAAAGGAACCCCCATACAGAATCTGGCAACATGAGTTTTTTCCATTCAGTGTCTCAGGCAATGTCTAAAGATTTATAGTCGGTCAACCACAATGTTAAAAGCATTGGATGGAGGTTGCCAGAGCCATCTATATTTTTTCACAAGAAATTCTGAAATTTTGTCCTGTAATGTGTGGCGCCTTCGTCGGAAGAAAAGCAAAACTTTCATTGATGAAAGAGCAAAATATAATTATAAATGAAATAATGTTGACCTTGAATTAAAGTCAAAATATAGTTTGCATTCGATTGTTTGGAATATCAGATTTACTGAAAAATAATAACCAAGTATAGATATTGAGGTATATCGTTTCGAGGCATTTCCACTTATCCAATTTTCTTGAAATTCGGCAGGGATACATATCATTCGAGTGACAATGCATTAACGACATTTATGTTTATACAGTAGAAGAAACATAGAGGTTGAGTTTGGTGAATTGAAAGATTTTTATCAACATTCATGATAGATGAAGAGTTTCGTAATTTAATTCCGATTCTATTAAAAATTGGTATTTTGAAGATTAGATATTTTTACAAGATTCAAGATGGCGGATAAGCTAGGTGATTTATAGTCTGATTCCATTTAAAATTGGTATACAGGTGCTTTTTTGGGCGATGATTTTTCATTACGTTTTTATTGACTCGCTTTCTTGTCTGTTTGTTCTGTACAAATCCTGTGAAGTGAAATTTGTTCCACTTCTTGTTGAAATTTGGCAGATGTTCATAATTTCCGTGACAATGCATTATGAAACTTTTGTTACAGAAAAAAAAATGGACGTGATATATGATTATGGCCTGAGTCTTTCAAAAATTGGTTTGTGGCAGTTTTTGGAACCAGATATTATGAATCAATAGTCAAGATTACTAAAATCAATATGGCGACTTCAAGATGGCTACGAGTTTAATGATTTTGATCCGATTCGATTGAAAACTGATATGTTGGGGTTTAAGGGATCCGGGATTGTGAATTTTTAGACAATTATCAAATTCTAGATGGCGGACGAGTTTTGTGATTATGGTTAGATTCGATTCAAAATTGGTATGTGGGGAATAAAGAGGGCGGAGATTAGAAATCTTTCAAAAATAGAATTAAATAGGAATTCAATGACATTTTTGGTTGTTACTAATCCCAAAATCTCGGTCTGCGACCACGCCTGTTCAAGAGATATACTTACCAGAAAGCATTCCTAATATATTTATGATTCAGAATGGCATCCCACTATACACAGACCTCCATTATATTTTTGTCTATCAAAATATATTTCTCCTTTCAATCAGTCATCTCAATGAAAATAAATCTTCTAAAGAACTGATATTATTTGTATAGAGTGAAATTAACGATTGATAGGTAGGTATTGAAAATCGACACCGAGACCGAAATGAATTCTCCATTTTTTTTCATTCTCAAATTTCAGACTGATTCTGATATGTGTTAAAAAAAATTGTTCTACTCATGAGTGCAGAGAGTTTTGTAGACACAAGTAGACATTATTCCAGGTGATAATATCAATGTCCATCAAACTCTCAAATAGGGCGAATAACCGTCTATTGAAAATTCAATAGGATCTGATGTGAAATATTGTTCAACTTGGCCATTTCGTTTTATTCATTTTGGGATGCTGAGGAAATTGGAGTGGTCCATTCCATGGCATTTTAACATCCTTTGTAGTATGATACCAAACAATAGTTAGAGTACAGTAGAATTGAATTACATTTTCTAACAGGCCTAGTTCCGGGCACTGCCATCTGAATAAATATATGCAAATACTTGTGTTTGAAAAATTTGGACCGAATCAGGCTTTCAGAATTTGGCAGAGTTCCACTTTTACTATCTGACCGTGAAGATACAAGGTAAGCGGCTTTATCAAGAAGCTGGATTTATCTGTTCGAGTTTGAGTAATTGTAAGCTTCAAAGAACCTTTACCTACTAGTTGCAGTGGAGGGACGAATAAACCATTTCACTCAGGACCCAGTGTCAAATATCAATTATTGTAAATGGAGTTTCTGAAAATCTTCGAGTATTCCATAGTTGCTGACGATATGAGGAACTTACTTCCTATAATAAAACTTGAATCAATGGAAATGAATGAACTTTGTTACCTCAAATAGTAAATGACTATCGATTTGAGAGTCCATTTAGAATGATTTTCTGTGAACATATTATTGGTAACGAGCATTCCATAGTTGCTAAGGATATGAGGAACTTACTTCTTATAATAAATCTTAAAAGAACGAGAATGGAACGAACTTTGTTACCTCAAATAGTAAATGACTATTTAAGAGTACATTCAGATTGATTTTCTGTAAACATATTTTTGATAACGATAATCAAAAACTCGTCTTCTTTTAATTATAAAACATGAAATGCTATTCACCGATTGGTAACTATATGTCTTTGTTCCAGTTGTTGATTTTGAAATTATTGATAATTCAAAATCAAAAACCAGGATCATAAATGTTATCTGCCTCCAAACACACTGCCGTAGCAGTGCGTACAAAATAGTATATTATTACGTTTTCCCCATGGATTGACTAATAATTGACTACATTTCACTTCGAATACAACAAACACTTCAACTTGAACTTCAACTATTATTCGAATGTCTATCGCCTTACTATATCGCTCCGCGTACTGCACTGTAACTTCCACTTGACTGTTTTGATGGTCGAGTGGGTAGCACTTATATTTGGGAATCGAAGGCGCTGAAACATCCTTTGGAATTCCATCGAAGTCGGTGGAACATTCGCCGGGAATTTCTGTCGATTCGGTCCGAACAGCCGCGAAATGTCGGTCGAACTGAGCGCGCTCTTCGCTATGTCACAATTGGTTTATGAATACAAGTGGCGGCTGGCGTTATTTCCTTCAGGACATGATTTACAACACTATGGTATATTCAGCCACATGTGTAATTTCATATAATAATCACAAATTGGATTTTAGGACTCCTGTCTTGTGAAATTATAGTTGTTCAAGCGAAGATCTCATAAAAAGTAGTATAAAACTTGATTTTTCAGATCTGATTCATTATCTGAATAAGCTTCAACAATAAAAGTGTGCATAACAGAATAGGTAGGTAGAATTCAGTGAGATTCGGTGGGAATGAAACTGAACCATTTCAAGAAGTTCATCAAATATTTAAATTTTTGGTTAACCCATCAATTGGAATATCAATTTTTCCTTTTTTTTGTTTGATGGCAGTTGACAATGATTTCTGGTGGAATGAAGTTTTGACAAATTTACAATCCAATGAAAGATAAATGAATAATATTTAGAGAATACTATTACCGAAATAGTTTTAAGGTAGAAAGAAATAAATTCATCAGAAGGTGAAAAGAAGATAATGAACACGAAATATAATAGAAATTATAACCTGAAATGGAAATGAGTTGAGGAAGTTACTTAACAATGAATGGAAATGTCAACATTATACAAACGACGGAAATGGAGAGAAATGATGATTAATAAATAACACAAAATTTTAAAGAATTTTAAATCAAGCTACTTCGTGGGAGATAACCGATCTTTTTCGAAAATTTGTATTCAGCTTCTTCTGACTCCCTCGTGAGACAGTGTCTCTCTCTGTAGACCATTACGGCTTCTGACCACTTGGTAGATCCACAACTTGTTTTGCTATCCTCTATTTGCTGGTTTATTTTCACTTGATGTAGAACTCGACCATAACCTCTTGAAGTCGTTGTCTGCACTTTTTGTTTGCTTGGTTTTTATGAGGCTGCAACAAAAGCAGGTTCCTAATTTGTATTTGGCCCCAATTCTGCACATTTTCTCTAAGAGGTCCTCTGAAAAACTACTGGTTGCTACGGCTTCTCTTCCTCACGGGGTTCTTATGGCTTTCTGTCAGTTTTTATAGTAACTAGTCTGTTGGAGATATTATCTGAATTACTAAGTAGAACTTTGAGAGGTGATGTAAATGGATATTGAAGTAC